ATGGAAAGAAAGGAACTTATCTTAAATCAGGAATAAACAATCAGGTGCATCTGTAAGAAAAGCATATTATTTTTATTTTAAAAATTAAACAGGAAGCTTGCATATTGCAAAGCAGAGTTAGCAATTTGCACAGTCCCTATAGGTGTTCCAAGAAAATAAAAATAACTGTATTGTTTACCAGCCTGTATACTTGCTAAGTTGACCAGCAACATAAAGAAAGGGAACAGATGTTGCCATCCACAGTGAATGAGCATTTTACTTCCACTTTGTGCTTCTAAATATCTAATACCCCAAAAAGATTATTTACCTCCATACTAAAGCAATCCTGTGCTTGCTAAACTGACCTGGTCAATTTGGGACTCCTAACAGCTGTATCAGCAGTTCAGATAACTTCTTGTGCCTTAGTCATACATTTCCTTTCTTTAAGTGCATTTCTGTTCACTTCTCTTTGTACATATTTGGTGCACAATAATTGGGACACAATTAACAAAAGTACATCCCATTCCACTGTAATAAGGTTTATCTTTAAATGATATTGATTTATTAATGTAGAAATGTACTCATTTTGTATCCCTCCATTTTGCTTCCTGCCTAATATAAATGTCCTCTGAAAGAAAATGTTCCACTGAAATGAACTGATGCATAAAAAATGGGGTCACCAAGGAAAGGACACTCAGTTGTACTTACTGAGCCTTGATAAACCATGCATTTCTTTATATGCAAATCATTTAGGTTGGGTAGACACCTGACTTCATCTTTTCACCTTAATTTACCTCCCAGATCAATATGTGAATGTCTTGATTAAAGAGCAGATAGTTACAGAAAAAAAGGCTGCTGTTTTAAAAAGAAATATCTATTCCCCATGCATGATGTTACTCTTTAGCTCCCCTGGGCCCCCATAATTCATCTCCTCTGTTTATTTTATCTACATAAAAATAAAATCTACCATCAAAGATATTTCCATCCTTTCTGTTTCTACAGAATCACAGCCAAATGACAGAATGACTGTGCATTCTTTGTCTTATCCATTCCTGCTACATCGTAACAACTTTTCTTTTCTAAAGCATTTTCTAAATATATCTTGCAGTTTATACTTCCAGCTGCCACTACAAAGGCGTTGTTTTCCCTGTCCAGGAAAATTCAAAATTGTTACAACTTTAGTATTTCATCTTTGTCTTGTCTTGACTTATAATGACATCCTGCAAGCTTTGAAGAGATCTCTTAATGGGACAAGGCATTTTTCCACCTGGGAAACTGGACCACCTGCAGCTTCTTTCTCTTCCTGATTGCAACTGTAAAAGAGATTGCAACCACATTCACTCCCAAGTACTTAATGATTGCTCCTGTTGAAACAATTGCAGCTCAGTGATGAAATACACATTGCCATGAATTTAGCAATTTTTTCAGTGGGAAATTTAGCTCTAACCAGCCAATCAGTTCAGTGTATTAGATACAGTGACAGCCCAGTTCCTAGAACATTTCCAAAAATGTTGATTTACAGCAAATCTACTAATTTGTGATCATTTTTGTAACCTATTTTCATGAAAAAATATGCATGTATGAAAATACAATATATACTTTAAAAATCAGTATGAATATTACTAGAGTTTCTTTTTAACCAACTTTTACAAAACAAGGTCAAATTGTAGTTAATAAAATGAGAAATCCTGAAAATGCAAATATGACATTGTCACTTATCCCTCCTATAATACTGCTGTTTCCTTTGAGGATATACGATCCCTTAGCAGTAATCAGGACCAGAGGACAAAGAAGACTTTAGGATCAAACAAAACAGAGGGTTACATAGGGGCACTTGAGCAAAATTCCACTAAGATAGGATGCCCTCTTATCACCTTTATGCCCACCTTCTAGAATGCTAGAAGTGACAAATAACATTGATTGGATGCTGTTGACATCATTTTCCTGATCATATACTGATGTCTTATTTTCATTTTTTGAAGCTGCTCTGTCAAATTTGGAATACCAGCATGCAATTGATAAGGAACTTTAATCAAGTCCTGTCCAACTCTATTAATATTGTTGTTGTTGTTGTTGTTGTTGTTGTTGCTATTATTGCTACTGCTATTGCTGATGTTGTTTTTGCCTCCCAGATTATCATTCAACCTTTTAAATTAGATATTGTATTCTTATTTAAACTACAGCATAACATTTGGAAACGTTATGTCAAATGTTTGAAAAAATGAGTTGCCCATTAGGAAGACTAATGGCAGAGCTCATGGAAAGGCTGTGTTGATTTGTTCTTTGGTTGTTGGGATTTTTACTGCAGGTCCTACATATTGCTATTATTGCTATTGTCCTATGGTGTTGTTAACCACCCAGAATTATGGATTTGAGATGGGAAGACATATAAATTGAAATAAATAAACATAGGATCAGATATTGGATAAATATAAACCACATAATAGGGACCTGGATGAGAAACAGTCAAGAAGGTGATTATCACTTTTTATTATATTTGGTTTTAATTTGAAAACATAACATAATTCCAATCTAGGTTTCCAGAATCTAGAGGACTTTTTTTTCCCTTAAACAGACAGAGAGGATGGAGGGAAGGAGGAAAGAACATTCACCTATAGCAATTTGGGATTTACATTCTTAATGTAGCTCTTAGCTATAACATTAAAAATAAATTATCATCAAAAATGCCATTTATTTCATTTATTTCAACAGCTCAGAGGAAATAAAATCCTAATTTTAATCTATTTAGAATCCCTCTGCAACACTAATGCAGTTCTGTATCATTGTGTTTCTATTTTTTCTCTGTATTTCATACTAAACAGGGTTATTTTTAAGAAGCATCTCTTGTTATCTAAAAGTATAAAAAAGTAATAATAAACACTGTTCAAAAGGGCAACACATTTGACTGAATCACAGCACTGATCTTTTACCTTTTATAATTCTTTGGTATTTCCTTCTGCTTTGTAATTCACTTCCAATTACTTACACTATTTTAAAAATGGGAAGACTTGCTATAATATGAAGCAGCATGGTCAATGTCCTTTTAATATCTGAAAATGCTGCCAAAATAGAACCGGTGGTTTAGTAAAGCAGGCATTTCTCTGAAGCATTTGGAAAAATTTAGCAGCTCTTTTGTTTATAGATTAAGAATATTTATTTATTTATTTATTTATATTTTATCACCTCTTCCTCGTATTAAAAAATTAAAAATGACCAGACTTGAATCATTTAATTTGCGAATTTACAATTTGCCATTTGTGCAATGCCATCAGCAAGTACTGAGTGCCCAATTGGCAAAAGAAACCTCAAAAACCCATTGGTTGCAAAGAGGCCTTCATCCTGCAGTGGAGAGACAATGGCTAGAATGATGAATTTGCCATAGAAGTTAAGAGGTTATGAAGGTCTTAGATCTTAAGAAAAGGAAGCGGAACTGTACTTCTTGGCTTTGCCCAGATTTATCATGACCCTTGTACTTCTCTTCTCCCAACATTTTCTTCTGAAGAGGGAGAAAATCTGATGGGTATGTATGTGTGGAGTGTGTGTGTGATTGTGGTGGGTTAAAATGTGATGGAGAATTTGTGTCACTTTAGTAGAACTGTCTTGCAATGTAGTTTTGAAAATTAAATTTAAATAATGTATAGTTAATAACAGGATAAATATCATACACAATTTTTCAGGCAGACCCAGAGAAATGAAACAACCATATTAATTCTCATTCCCAAACCTCCATTTTGGGGAAAAAAATCTACAAGTAGGTACTGAATTATTTAGGCTGCAGTTATGAAGAAGGAGGAAATCAAGTCTAATTAATAGCTCTTTGGTTATATGAGTGAATTGAGGAGAGCACTTTCAGTCCTTTCTACTCTTTTGCTAAACTGTTTCTCTTGGCATGTTTATCAAGATTTATTTATGCTCCATACAGCAAGAAAATAAACTCTCTTACACTTTTTATTCTTTCCAAAATGTACTGTAGAAGTACTCCCAAGCTCTTGTACAACAGCATCAAGGATCAAGTGGAACCAGTAAGACAACTGTGCACTACCGTATTTCACACCTTTACAGATCCTATTTCCTGATGTTAAAATGATACTCATCGTGAAAAAAATAAATAAATAACATTCAAGAAGATGAATTTGAAAATAGCTGTATGGCTGTACTTTCTACTGAGTTTTGGTTACTACTGCAATAAAAACAAGATAAAGATCATTATGGATTACAGAAAAGTTGAAGCCATTATGTACAACAGTAAGGACATTTAAAATTACTAGCATTATAAACAAACCAATACGAAAAGTGGGATGATGCTGTCATTACAAATAAGCTCTGTAGTACTATACTATCATGGTGGTCGTGTATAAATGCACCGCTGATCAATCTAATCAAGTTATTATGTTGATCTGTCCTCTGTACAAGATCCATACAGAAAGCCCATCTCCATATCCCACTATTATGAAATCACTTTTGGAAAAAATACGACAGAGGTTCTATTCTTTGGCTGCTTCCAAGTTCTAAAACTCCTTTTTGAGATCAGGCTAAATCATCTTTCCATTGACAAGCAAGAGTGTTTCTGGTGTAGAAACTGACTTGTGGGTTTTAATTTTAATTAACTATTTAATTAATCTAGCAAATGCTGTTAGGCATTAAATTAATTTGAAATAGATCACTTTTAAATTTTATTTATAATGTTTTTTAATTATATTTATTATTTTGCCTGTATTTTATTCTAAGGTTGCTTAAATATGTTTTTTTAATGGGAAGGCATGTTATAAATGTAACAAGCATCTCATTGTTAATTTTTCCAAATATCTTTTTTTTTACAACATCAATATTGTTATGCTGAATCTCTAAGCTCATACACCATAATAAAAAGAACTGAATTGATAGAATGAAAAAAGTAATTAACAAGCTAAGGTGCTGTTTATGCCCAACATGCTAAGAGTTCTCACTTGTGTTAATGTAGCCCCATTATGATCATTTTAAAGCGACAGAAGTCTGGATGAATATCTAGAAGAGAAACTTACCTCTTCCCACTGATGGATATATCTTATTAATCTTGAAAGTCGTAGCAAACGTAGCAGACTCAGGATTTTTGTGAACCTCACAATGCGAAGTGCTCTAGCTGTCTTATAGACTTCTGAATCCATTCCTTTCTCTACAATAAGAAAGATATAATCCACTGGTATGGATGAGATGAAGTCAACCACAAACCAGCTCTTTAAATAATTCATCTTGATTACTTTGGGGTCTAGTATTATTTCAGAGCTATCCTCATTAACCGTGCCAGTTCTAAAGTTCATAATCAAGTCCAGCAGAAACACAGTATCCGATGCTACGTTGAAAATAATCCATGGTGTGGTTGTCTGTTCTGTGAAGAATGTGATACCAACAGGTATTATTACAAGATTTCCAACCATCATGATAAGCATGATTAAGTCCCAGTAAAACCTAAGAGAAACAGAGAATGCAATTGTTAAGCAAAACAACATGTAAATGGCCATTTATTCTTTTCTGTGCATATATGATTTGTGGACAGTGCTTTAAAATTGGAAGAAACTAGACTGCATTCAAGTTTTTTTTCATCAAATATACAAAACAGAAATTGAAACCATCCCTTCACAATTATTCATGTGCCTATGATTGCAAGTCACATCTTCAAAATAACTTTTTTTCCACAGAGGTTTGATGGTACATTTTGCTGAAAGTCAATTTTCTTTGGTATCTTCAACAGAAACATTTCCTGTTTATGTTATGGAAAACATAAATTTGTTTGGAACTAAACCTTTAAAAGTATTTTTTTCAATGTAGTTACATTGAAAGCATTGATAAGTGCAAGAAAAGATTTTGCTAAAAAAAAAAGGAAAAAAATCAGAATGCCTAAACCTTCAGAAGCAAAATAAAGGCTTCAGATAGTAATCAGGAACATTAGTATTAAGATAGTAAGCTTCCGGTAAAAAGATGGCTGTCAGAACCCAATCTTTCTATGGGCATGGGATTTCTTATTCTTTTTGGGTTCTGCCATTCTCCTGGGAGGGGGAGAGGGATGCTTGGGGTGGTGATGTGTATTTCCTTTGCTTTGTTCCTTGCTCTATCCTCTTTGATGTTTCTCTATCCGGGTGAGAATGGAATGTGCCTCCGGACATCTGTCTTATCTCCAGCTGCAGAAGAAACAACACAGAGACCTAACAGCCTTGGAATCTGCACCTTATCACTCCATTCCCATGGCACTTTCACACCTGTGGCTTAGCCTGTTTGAACCATCTGGATGGATGGTTGGGGCAGGGTTATTTTGGACTCTTTTGACTATTTGATTTGTGTGGGAAACCCTCAGATCCTGCCTTCTATTCCTGCTGTCAACATCTCCCAATAAAGGTTCCTTTTGAAATTATGTTGTTTCAAGAGTTCTGCTTCCTTGGGAGGACTAATTGAGGCAGATCCTTAGAATGGCCAGCTGACAACATGCCCAGGAAAGGATTCCCTAAGGGTTTTTTCCCTGGAATGTAGCTTCTTCAACAGAAGGAACCGGCATTCCTTTAATTTAACTCTCCTGGGTTAGGGAAAGTCCTAGAATTATTCCTCAAGATCTTCCAATACGGCGAAGGTCTGCAAGTAGCTTCAGGAGCATTTGCTTTGAAGCAGCTTGTATGCCAAAGAAGCAGCCATTTGAGAATTTATTTTTCAAATGAACAGTAAGTTGTGCCTTTCATTTCTTAATTATTTTAAGGATTATCAATATTTAATTAAGTTAAAAGATGTTCTCTTTAGCCTGTTATTCCTTTTTGAAGATCTGCACCATTTGGGGGGTTTCTTCTTGTTAATCAACAAGGAAGAAGGTTGCTAAGGCAAGCAAAAATATCTTGAAGTGTGAAATATCTTTTTTTTAAAAAATGATGGAGAAATATAACGGCAGAAAGTTGTGGTTCTAGTTTATTATTTTTAGTAATTTCTAGCTTGGTCTGCTTTGCTGTGACTAAAACTTTCTGATTTTTATGATACCTGATTGGTCAGCAATTCTTAAGTGACTTACAAAACAGCTACTCTTTGACTGAAGAGGGAGTTAAGAAGATGGAGGAGATACCTTAGAGATGTATTTGAAAAATCTTTAAATAAAATCCATCAATTTATAGAACAGCTATGCTCCAAGGGTGTTAAAAAGACTACTCAAACTATTTCAGAAATAGTAAATATTTGTAGAAAGTTACCAAACCACCGAGACAATTTCATAGGTAGCTGACAATGCAAAGGAGTCAACTGTAATTTTGGAATATAAACCTGACACCAATTTTTATTCTGATGGTTTAAACAGAAGCCTCCCAACAGAATTGAAAGAAGAGCTTCAAGAAAATTTGTAACTTTAAAAAGGCAAGTAGGGACTTTTTCCTCATGGATATTAACAAAATTAAGAAATCTTTGAGAAAAAGAGAAGCTTATAACTACTTGACAAATATTCCAGAGAAGAAAGTGGTTTTATTAAATGAAATCAAGCTGGAAGGAGTGACTTAAACATAATGAGACAAATGAAATTAGGATGGATTTTCATCTGTTTCATATTTGTAATTGAAAGAAAGTCTTAATCTTAAATTAAAGTTTGAAAATGTATTTTTTTCTTTATATATAATGCTTAAATAATTCCTAAAGTAAAATATTATTGAAAGTGTATTTGAAAATATCTATGTTAAGAGAAAGTTAAAGAAAAAGATATATTTAAAAAAAATCCAGAGTTTTAAAAAGGATGTATACAAGAAAAAAAAATTATTCTATGATGGTAACTTAGAGGGAGTAATCTAAATTTAATGGGTTAGAATTGGAATTTTATTGGTCTGAAAGTAAACTTTAAAGTATGCATGCTAAAAGAAAGTTAAAGATTTATTAGAATGTTTTAATTTTAGAAATGTTTTAAATAAAAGCTTACTGTTTTAAAACAGATGGAAAAAAAGTATTTTCCCTTTAAGGTTAAAGAATCTGAAAGAATACAGTGAATTTTGTTAATATAAATGGCGATAGTTTATAAAGTTTATTAATTTGGCTGCATTAACAGAGGGATAGAATCAAGATCACATGAAGTGTTAATACCACTTTACAATGCCTTGGTAAGGCCACACTTAGAATACTGCATCCAGTTTTGGTCACCGCGATGTAAAAAAGATGTTGAGACTCTAGAAAGAGTACAAAGAAGAGCAACAAAGATGATTAGGGGACTGGAGGAACAGCTGCTGAAATTGGGTATGTCTAATTTAACAAAGAGAAGAACAAGGGGGGACATGATAGCAGTGTTCCAATATCTCAGGGGCTGCCACAAAGAAGAGGGAGTCAAGCTATTCTCCAAAGCACCTGAAAGCAAGACAAGAAGCAACTGATGGAAACTAACCAAAGAGAGAAGTAACCTAGAATTAATGAGAAATTTCTTGACAGTTAGAACAAGTTGAAGCTGGAATGTTGTACTGTGCTAAAAAGAATCGGAAGACAATGCCTTTTTCTTTCTTCCCTTGTACCTCATATTTTTCTTCCCATTTTTTTTCTTCCCTTAATTTCCTATTGTTATTTTTCTTTGAATTTTATACATTGATAAAACAATGAAAGTTATATAAGAGAGAAGCATTACTGTCAATGCTGCTAACATTGGATGTTTTTGCTTTGACAATAGATGGAAATGTAGCCATCTTTTCTCTATCGCTTTTAGAGTTCATTGATGCTGGGAGAGGGAATGTGGATGAGAGTCCAGCTAATCATAACAATAATAACTCAGCTGTGAGAACCCAAGGTTATTAGGTCCAGAGTTGATAGAAAATTGGCAGGCAGGAGAGATGGGAAGAAAACCCACACTTCAAGTTAATTGGGGAACGTGATTTATGATGGTTAATTGTAGGAAGGAATTGCTCTTTGCTACTTTGTGCCAGGGGAGGGGAATTCAGTTTTTGGCTTCAATTATGTAGTGCCAATACTTTGTTTCTCAAATTAAAGAGTTTTTAAGGAAAACAATGCCTCGAAGTTCTTTTGAAGAGATTCATCTGTCGGAACCATGACATTCACATTTTAAAGATTTACTGTTTTAAAAAATAACTTCTAGGAAAAAAAAAACAATTTAAAAGAGAAATCGAACAGTGGGAATCTGCTCAGTTTTATTCACAAAAAAGTATATAATATGAGTGTCAACAAATGATTCCCCTGGCTAGTCAGTCAGGACTTAGAGATTGAGCTGATTTAGATTTGGAATTTCACCAAGTGAAAGACCAAACCAAAAAGTTGAAAAAAAAATGTTCCAAAAAGAAGAAAGTGTCAAATTACTTCCACACTATTGCCAAGAAAGTTGTATGGATCATCCATGAATCACTTGTAGGCAAGCTTGGCTCAAAAGAATAGCAATACCACTTACCATTTAGACTTATATACTGCTTCATAGTGCTTAACAGCACTCTCTGAAAGGTTTACAGAGTCAGCATATTATCCCCAACAATCTGGACCCTCATTTTACTGACCTTGGAAGGATGGAAGGCTGAATCAACTTTAAGCCAGTCAGAATCAAACTCCTGGCAGTGGGCAGAATCAGCTTGCAAGACTGCATTCTAACCACTGTGCCACCATGGTTCAATAAAGAAGCTTTATTCCATGGGAGAATAGCATCCGTCAAAGCAATAGAGTCAGGTTCCATTTTTTTTTTTATTGTGCTACATAAATATATTCATGTATCTGGCTAAAGTAGCTAAGGTTACAATTCTTTTCTCACTTACCTAATCAGCTTCACTGAACTGCATGAAATATATTATTGAGTACATGTCCTGGAAAAGGAATAAAGTTCTCTTTGCATCTTGTCTGAAGCGGTGCTTGTTTTTTGACCTTATTTTTGTATTGGTGTTTAACAGTAGGCTTCTGTTTCAAAAGGATTACTTCTCTGTTGTTGAATTTTACTTTACAGGTAGTTTCTGAATAATTACGATTTAGGTCCTTTACATCTCTTATTGCTGCCCTATTGTGCAGTGTTTGTAAAGGATTTAATTTTCTTCTTCAAGCAATATTTTAAAATAGTTTTATTAAGATTACAATTCAAACAATACAAAACTTTTACTTTTAAAAATATAAAAAGGAAAACGAGAAGCGCAGGGGTGGGGAGCAAAAAAGAAATAAAAGTGAAAATGAAAAAAACAAATAAGGAATGACTTTTCTTTCATCACAAGTACAATTTTAGTAAATTATCACTTATCTCTACAACAAATACACTATTCTTCCCATAACTCATTTCGTAACAAAATCTTAAGGCCTTATCATTTACTCCTAATCAGCAAAAATATATTAAGGGCTATCAAAAATCACTACATAACTATTTTAACCATGATCAAATAAGTCAACTCTGCATTCTCTCCCCACATATTTAACAAGTTTTAATCCCTTAAAATAATGATCTTGGGCTTGATTTTTTTTTTTTTTATTCTTCCCTTTTCTCCTCCCAACAA